AAAGGAATTTGTCCGAAATGACAATGAAGCAAGACAATTACCAAAGTACAACCAGGATGTCTGCTTGAACAAGAACTTCTTGCAAAACCGATATCATGATACTGACATGGAGTCTACACGAGCTCCCAGAGCAACAAATCAGATGCCTAAATATCAACCATTTAACATTCAAAATACTACAGAGAGTGATAGAGCTAGCCTAAGCAAGAACTTGCCCAGAAAGCACAGCTCTGGCACTTGGAAAGAGTATGAGATACTTGACCGGCCAACAAAGCAGAGACCAATCTGTGAGCCATTGAAGCTAGAAAACAGACGACATGTCTGGGATTGCACAAAGAAGACATCAGCCAGAAAACAAAATTGTAATAATCGTAAGGATTGCCTATCTTTCGTAAGAGGTGCAGTGCCACGCAGCCACGCAGCAAGCACTCCAAATGGTTTAGAAAAGGAGGTTAAATCAAACAAACTCGTTGACAATGAAAGTCTCCTGAGGCCAATCCTGCCAGAGTTATTGCTTTCTTGTCAGGACATCAATAGCCAAGAGACGCCTCCATCATCTAATGCTCAATCATACTTCCCTGCTGTAAATGGTCGACCATTGGATACTATAGAGTTTGGATCTTTGGGACCTTTTGCACTGCCTTTATCCTCATTGAAGTCAAACGGAGCTACTAACACACAAACTACAAGTAAGGTGTTTACAGATACCTCTCCATTTGTGTTACAGAGGTCCAGGGCCGCCGCATCTGAAAACAGGTAATTTCCAAGTGCTTGTCCATAGCATTGAATTATATGTAGTGTACAGACTGCATTCTTGCAAGTATATCTTAGTTGTAAAATTAAATGTGAGATAAGTATGATTGGTGAAGTATGTGGGGATTGGGAACATAGGGACTGTCACGGAAGACCAATAGGTCTGTCTAGCATCCAAATTTGCTGTTAGGGATCCTGAATTCCTTGCAATTTACGCTACAATGGCTACAATTCTGTCCTTATATGAAGCATCCCGACAGTACTTTTCTATTGTTTCAGGCCCCCGGGACTTTGCAAAGTGGGAGACGAGGATGAATTCCCACCTCTTAGAGCTGGGATCCGGTGAGAACTTATTATAGGTCATACAGACGGATACAACTGATCATAGAGTTAGCAAAAGGAGCTGACCAGTTGAGCTTTGTGCAGAATTTTCTTGGGCGCATAGATATGAGGATTGCAGTGACATAGTAGCCGATAGTCCTATACCGTGTAAAATCTCGTCGGTACCTTATCAATCTCTCTCTTTTATTTTTCCGTAGTTGTGTCTATAGTTACACCAAACAAGGTGTATATAGCTAATGTTCACTAGTATAAGTGTATAACTTAGCAAGGAGAAAGATCAGGTAACAAAATACTTACGTTTACCGTATGCCAATTGGCTATTGCCCTAAGTCTTCTTGCCTTTGCTTTTCTTTGCTTCACTGCATCGTCATCAGCTGTCATGAAATTCTGACTGCGAAATGCCTGTTCAGCTCGTACGTCTTACCCTGCAGGCTCCTTTTCAGTTTCACCTGACATCAAGAACATCACCGTTCTGTCCAAAATAATTATGCCCGTGTTTAGTTGCAAAAAGATTTCCCAAAAAGTGCTACAGTATCCATCACATCGAATATTGCGATACGTGCATGGAGTATTAAATGTAGACGGAAAAAAAAGCTAATTACACAGTTTGGTGGGAAATTGCGAGACGAACATTTTAAACCTAATTAGTCCATGATTAAACACTAATTGCTAAATAAAAATAAAAGTGATACGGCAGCCAAATTTTCAAACTTCAGCCAACAGAACACGGGCTATGATAAAAAAGCTCCTTCCGACAAAGGGCTGCAACACTGCTTTTCGGACTGTAAAAGCGTGCTCATCCTCTGCTGGGGCCTGGGGTCGAAAGGCAGAGCTGCATCCTGCAGTGCACTGTTTCACCAATCTGGCAATCAAGCTCTGATCGTTCGGACGTTCCTATTCACCAATCTGGCAAGCAAGCTCTGATCGTTCGGACGTTCCTACAGGCAGCAGCTGCCGAAAGGCAGACGGCAGAGCTGCAGTTTCACCAATACAGCAACTCTGACCGAGTGGCTGTCGATCAGACGGTGAAACCATTGTACCCTGCCCCTGCGTTGCCATGTTTCAACGCTGCTATGAGCCCATGCCAAAATTTCAATTCTTCCTAGCCTCCTGCATCACTGATCCCTCTGTTTTGGGTTGCTACCGCTTAACTACTTTAGCTTTTAGCTCACCTAAAGAAAGCGGATGCTTCGCACTTGGATATGAAACTTCATGACCTGAGGTTAACTCTATATACTTCCTAAAAAACTACGCCCCAACCTTCCACAGCATCCTCATTCCTCTACTTGATCCCGTCAACACAATCGCTTCTTTTATCTGACCTTGCTAAACTCGCTTTTTTCCCCCCTTATAATTGGTCGACAGAGCTCATGTCTACACCTCTTTTCACATGTGTCTGAGAGCTCCTGTTTTTTACTTTTAAAAAGGAAAAGAGAATGTTCATCTCTTGCAGCCGCATAGAAACTCCTCCCTGCTATGTCCTTTCAGTGAGGAGTCCGTAACCGTATCCACTATCCAAACACTGAAGCCCAGTACATTCACTATGTCACCGATCACAGCACGGCACAGATCGCTGAGCTAGCTGCTTTATTTCCTAGACACTAGTTCTACTACAATGGCAAGCACTGCACAATCCACCGGGTGCCCATCTAAAGCTTCTTTATAGCTCGCTCTAGGCACCACGGTGCAGCTTTCGTCAAAACTTTTTGTACTATTTTTTTACTACATGTCCATGTCCTGCTTCTCTGAAAGTTCAAAAGGCCATCTTTTCCCTCACCGTTGCCAGTTGCCACGGCGCTGCTGTGGTAGGGATGGTGGCAAACTGGCATTGGCATGGCCCCTGCTGTGGTATCTCATCTCCTCATCTTTTGCTGCTTTCCTCTTTCCTCTCCTGGCAGTGGCAGCCAGGCCACGGACGCGGAAAAAAGCTTTCTACTCCGATCCGCACTGGCCCTGCGCAAAGTGGCAGCGCGATGTTCTATGCGGATCAGTCGCGCAGAGAGCAGAGAGGGTTTTGTGACTTCGTGCGCGCTGGTTTTGGTCGGTGTTGGAACTTAGGCGTGCTCGTTCTGCAATCCCGGGACGGATGCGAGTGGCAGAAGACGAGCACCACCAGTCACCAGATGCGTAGGTCGCAGGATGTGCCGTGCGTGGACTGGCCGTTATCAGATTGGTGCTTGGAGCAGAACAGTACCAAATTATAATAGGTTTGATTTTTTTTACCCCAAGTTTAACCGCTCGTCTTATTTAAAAAATTTGTGTAAATATAGTTAAATTTAAATCATTCTTAAAGAATTTTTGTTAATAAAATAAGCCACAACAAAAGAAGTAATATTTAGCATAAATTTTTAAATAAGACGAGTGGTCAAATTTAGGTTCAAAAAAGTTAAACGAACTATAATTTAGAACGGATTTAGTAACCGACAGTGGAGAACTGTCATTCCATAGTGCCAGTCCATTTCATACTTTCACTCCGAGGAAACTTGCGGCCGTGCACGGTGTCTCACACTCACAGGAAGTGGGTAAAGGTAAAGACTTTCTCACCCAGACAATACCCTATTCCAAAAATGCAGCTGTGCAAATCCAAAATTAGTTAAAAACATGGACATTCATGTTGACACACAATGCAATTTTGCGTGGAGAAACTTGACGACTATAGAATTTTACATTCACATGATCTACATGTATGCACTTTTTCCCCAATAATCGTCCTGTTCGCTTGACTTATAAGCCGTACTTTTTCAGCCAACGAACAATATTTTTCTCTCACAATAAATCAGACAACAATACTTTCAGTCATAACTTATCAGCCAAGCGAACAGGGCAAATAATTTTAGAAATGTATAAAGTGCATTATGGTGTAATAAATTTTCAAGTGGGCGCGTAGTTGAGCTCGAGCTTAGCTCTGCCGCAGTCGACATACGGTCTAGGATTGTCCAAGCTAAAATGTCACCACTGGGACAGGCATCTCCCTCGTTTGTAAAAGGAAAATCGACAAGAAAGAGACGGCCTCGTTGTGAAATAATGATGACCGGAGATGATAGGCGCTGCAATTGCGGGGTACGAACGCTACCGATGCTAGTTTGCCAGTAGTCGGTTGGTGGTCCGGCGCTGCGAGGCTGGTTAGCCTGGGCTAGCCTTCCGGAATTCACCCCTTCACCTACCTGGTGTGGGGAGTGGGACTGAGATCCAGGCCAGGAGGGGACAGGGCCGGCCTGGGGCCAGTTTGGATGTCAATTTTTTTTTTTGGCAAAACATGCTGCTGTAGCGTTTTCGTTGTTATTTAGTAATTAGTGTCAATCATAGTCTAATTAGGCTTAAAAGATTCGTCTCGTGGATTTCGTTTAAACTATGTAATTAATTTTATTTTATATATATATATATATATTTAATGCTTCATACATGCGTCAAAGATTCGATGTGACGAAAATTTTAAAAATTTGGCATTTTGAGGTGCAGCTAAGCAGGGCCTGGCCGATCTTCAAAGCAAAATTCCACAGGAAGGGTCGGTGATCAACAGCTCGGTTCGCATTGATCCTCTGCTGCGTCATCGAGCTGTAAAGGCACACGATTCCGCTCGCTTTTCATTTTGGGAACCAAAGTGGGGCTGCGGAGCGCGCGCTTCCATTCTTCAACCTCACGGCGTGCCGATGCCGACACACGTACAGCGAAACAAGAAATGCTGTCAACTTTGCGTGATCTATCTAATCGAGAGAGCTCCAACGCAAGCAATTTGATCCGGCACGAATGTACAGTCAAGAACCAACTGAAATAGGTGTTGATTATAAACACGGCAAGATCCATGCATGCTCGTTGTCGCAAGCTAAGCTCACACGATTGCACTGTTACGCTAGCTGTGTCAGCTGGTGTTTGCTTGAGGTGCGTGGCTGCACCACGCATGCACGCTAGATGAGCAGCCTGTGCTTGTCGAGGAGGAGCCAGACGTGGCGGAACGCGGCGACGACGGCGCGGTGGTGCTCGGCGGCGTTGAGCGCGAGGTAGCACGCGAGGAGCTCCTCCAGGTCCTCCGACGACCGGATGCCGTTGGCCACCACCATCTCGGACATGCTCTCCGCCAGCTCCCGCTCCGGGTCCGACGACGTCTTCACCACCACCAGGCTCTCGTACAGCCACCGCCGCCGCCGCTGCTGCGTGGGCACGCGCAGGGACGTTGGCGGCGACACCTCCTCCTCCTCCTCCGCGGCCGCCTTCCCCTTCTTGATCGCGACGCTGTCGTAGTGGTCGCGTGACTCGCTCCGCCGCCGGCGCCGGCGCTGCTGCCTCCGGCCCCCCGCCAGCGGCGGCTTCACGTGGAACCCGCGCGCCCTGGTCGACGGCGTCGTGGCGGCCGACGTGGTGGCGCTGCTGACGCCGCCGCCGCCGCTCTCCGAGGCGTCGGCAACGGCGACGGGCACGGGCCTCGTGACGATGCGCCGCAGCTTGAGCTCGGGCGTCCCGGGCGGCGCGTCGAGGCCGCCGAGCCGCCGGTCGCCCGCGCGGCGGTGCACCACGTCGACGCGGACGTCCAGTAGGCCCGCCACGGCGTCGGCGGCGCACGGGAGGTCCCTGTCCTGGCGCGCGCGGTCCGCGCTGGCGAAGTAGTAGGACGCCCTGTTGGGGGACACGGCGCATGGCGGCGCTGGCAGCAGCGACGGGCATTGTTGGCCCTGCTGCGCCGGCGCGGGTGCATCCTTGTCCGCCTCGGCGGCGGCGAGGCTTCTGCACGGGCTTTGCTGCTTGCCCTTGCTCCGCCTCCTCCGGAGCTTCTGGAACCATTTGGGCGCCAGCATGGTGGTGTCACCGTGGAACGAAGCTAGGCAGCAGGGGACAGGGTCAGAGACCGGCGTCGGCTGCAGCCGCGCCGAGACAGGGGGAGTTGGTGACTGGTGTGCGTGTGCGTGAGCGGCTGCGCGCCCGTGGAAGTGGAACTGCAGCGCAGTCGCTGATCGCCTGGCTTCACCAGGGAGGCTGGGATGATGATGTGTTGCCCTGGCTGGTAGCGGAGGGCCTTGGGACTTGGGAGGGCACTCGCAACTCGCATCGCATCGCATGATCAAGTTATACTGGAGTTGGAAAGCATGCTTTCGTGAATCGTTTCGTTTCGACTATTAGCGCGTGTTTAGTTACGACCCCAAAATTCTAACTTGTCACATCGAATCTTGCGATACGTACATAGAGCATTAAATGTAGACGAAAAAAACTAATTGCACAGTTTGGTTGAAAATTACGAGACGAACGTTGTGAGCCTAATTAATCCATGATTGAACACTAATTATAAATAAAAACGAAAATGCTACAGTAACATAAATTCCAAATTCATCCAACTAAACACGCGCTTATTACTCGTAGAATAGAAAGCAAAAGAAAAAGAAATGATAGTGTAGCAGTAGAGGGCAGGATGCACTGTCGCAGCGTGTCTCTATTTTGGTACGTGGGGGACAAGTAGGTCGCCAAGGTCAAAGCTACGCTACGCGGTCCAGGACACACACGCTTGATTTCAATTTGTACGCGAGCTGCTGATGCGCCCGCCCGCCCCCACTGAAGTTTGGTTTCCCGCACGCAGTGGGGCAGGCCTGCCTGCCGGTGTGGCGCTCGTGCAGGTCCGAAACTTGAGCCGCAGCGCCGCAAAGATGGCCGGTGCCCGGTGGGTGCATGCACGTCCTGAGCAAGCGCAAGCAGCACGGCTGCTGCTGACGCAGGAACAGCGCGCTGCGGCATCGACGATCGCGGGGGCACGCACGCATCACGCATCAGGTCGTGCGCGCGTACCACGCAGCTGGCCTACCACGGCCGATCGATTACGCCAGTCGTGCCGGTGGATTTTTGGCGTGGCTACCCACGCGCAGGCGCGACAGAAGCGTACGTGGACAGCTCCGACGAACTGAAGCAAGCAACGTCGCGGCGTCGCCTGCACCGACGATTTGGATGTGAGATCGATCGTCCCGCGTGATATATTACGCTCAGTCAGTTAGTCGATCAAAAGCCATCATTTCCAGAGCGAAGAGATTCGATCGTTAGCGGTCATCAGTCGATGGTGATCCGAAGCAATCATACAACTCACGCTCCAACACATGCTTCCTCTGTGCATGCCAGTGTGCTCCCACCTTTACAGTCTTTATAGCCCCTATCATTTGAAAGTTAGTATGCAAATGGCTGCTGATAAAACCCCTAAAAGCTACGGTTAGATAGGACACGGAATAATCAAGTAGGAGTGGTATCACGCGAAAGAGTAAAACACCATTATGAAAATTAAATGAAGAAAGAAAAACGAATATATGCCAATGATTATGTTACTATCACCTTTGTGTTCTTGCATGGGCAAGATTCTTAGAAAATGTAAGCACTAGAAGCCCGTGGGGAAAATTAGGATCCCAGGCCAAACAAATTACATTTTTTGCTCTTCCATCTATATTCATAGTTTTAATCATTTGCATTGTTCACCGTGTGCCTTTATTGATACTGCATTTATTCCAAATTATAAGGTGTTTTATCTTTTTCAGATATATTATTTTTACTATATATCTAGACCAAGGGTCGAGCTATATTGTTCATTATGGGTGTGGCAGCATAAATGCAAAATTAAAAAGATAGTGGAAAGAGTCAAATTTTCACTAGATTTGCACCCACATTTCATAGATCCTTGCACCCACAAAACAAGGCGCACCCCCTCGGATTTGCTCTAGCTCCGCCCCTAATCTGGACATAGTGTATACCTAAATGTATAACAAAAATTATGTATCTAGACAACCAAAATGCCTTACAATTTAAAATGGAGGGAGTAGTTGATTCTTCATGTATGTATACGTTGTCAGTCAAAACCTTAACTTGATCGAGTTGCCAGCTCTTGTTAAAGCCTATATGTCTTTGGTTTTTAATAATTATGCCTTTTCGGTCCTCAAACTTGTGAATGTATCATTCCTTTTTTTAGCCCTTAATCTATGTTTGGGTCTCAATGGTCATCTAAATGGGTTTGGGCCTATGTCCACGCACCGATGTGGTATGTGTCGGTGCGAAATGTAGCCAACAAGTAAATATTTGTTGTTTTGCTGTGCTTGTGTGATCGGATATGGCCTAGCACTCAATGACATATGATTTATACTGGTTCAGGCAACAGGCCCTACGTCCAGTTGAGGTTGGTCGGTAACTTTATTCCTGACCCAGATGCTCGAAGTTTGCCGTGGGGTTACAAATGAGTAAGGAATGAGAAGAGAGTGTTAGAGGTCCGATCGGACTCTGAACCGAGTGGAAGAGAGTGACGGATGCTCAAACGTGCGCTAAGTATTAGAAGCGTATGCTCTGTGTGTCTGAGCTTATCAGCTGTGGAGAGCGTATAGACTTTGTAGCTGTCGAGCTCTAAAGCTGTTGTGTTGTTGTCCTCAAGTTCTCGAGTCTTTGAGTCTTCGAGTCTTCGATTCTTCTGGTAGGAGAGAGCGCATCCCCTTTTATAATTGAAGGGGATGGCCTCACAAGTCAGAGAGAAAGAGAGAATGCATATGAGCGCTGCCTAGTCTTGTTGCCCATGCCATTGGGTATGAGATGGTCGCCATCGCCCACCTTACTGTTCATGCTCTGTTGTATCTAGCAGGCTACACAGTGTTCGTCTGGTATGACAAACGACGACGCCCACAATACTGTTTATGCTCATACACGTCTGGTAGGCTCTACCGTGTTCGCCTGACATGCCCCGACGGCACCGTCCTGCAGATGCACAGGGCATGGCAGGGTACGGTCCTCGGTATTGTGGTTGACTTGAGCCCCTTACCTTATCTGCTCCACCTGCTCCTAGGGCCCACACCGAGCGGGCGTCCCCGGTCGGTCGTTTCCAGTCGGCCCCGACCGTGTCGGTCGGGAAAGAGCAGCGAACAGAGGTCCTGGCGTATTCTCGGTCGGAGAAAGGGGGTCGAAGTCAGACTGCAGTCCCACCACGACCAGGCCTTTCGGTCGCACCTCCGATCAGATCTCCTGGCCGGAGGTGCCGGTCGGGGACCGGATCATGTTCTTGGCCTATCTTTATGTATCTGGGCCTGCCCAGACACGTGCTATCGCTGTGCCGCTTGCTGGGCCGAGTTTTGTAGGAAAACGGGTCTATTAGGGACCCTAGGTTTATGAACCCGACAGGAGCCTCCGAGCCCCTTTGGGACTTTTGTGAAGACGTGAAGGGGCTGTTTGCACACGCTTTGCGTGATATTGTAAAAGTCAGGGGCTTGTGTTTTTAGCTTAATGAAAGCTTGTATTTTCTTTGTAATTCTTGTACCGATTGTGCCGTGGAGGCGGGCTATTATTGGAACTTCGATGTTTTTCTTCCTTGGTTTGTTGTACCGTGTAGGGTAACCGAGTAGGATTTAGGCGCCCAGCCTTCATATGGAGGACTGGCAAAGGCCACGGAGGCGCGCCGTGCAGACATAGGCGCCCAGCCGTGAGGAGGAGACTCGTTGGTAATCCGTTTTTGGCCAGGTGCGCGCAAGCGCACCCGACGGGTGTAGCCTCCGAGCCTGCGGGCGACTGGGGATGGGTCGGAGGCTGAGCACCTTGGTACTCTCTTTTAGGGCTGCAGACTCTTGTGTCTCTTTCGATCGGTGTGTTCGCCCGTGTCCGTTCCGACCGCAACCTGTGTGGTCGGTCGGGTTCCTGAGTCGGGATCTGGCGGTTCGAGCCCCCGAGCCACTAGGGGTCGGTCGGGGTTGGTCGCATGATTTTCTGCATCACCCCATCCGCGGTTTCCGCAACCGGAGGGGTTGAGCTGACGCCACTTGCCTCGATGAGTCGAGTGGCGGGCTTCGATGAGTTCGCTAACGGACATGTCCGAGTGGAATCAAGGTCCATCGTTCGTGATGGGGTCGGCGTAGCCCTCATGTGGCACTCTAGTTCTCCTTAACCCGCCTCCCGGCAAGCCCTCATGTGGCATAGCCAGCACGACGAGGAGTTACGACAAAGGCGACAAAGACAGCCGCCGCCTGCGCCGGCGCACCCGGCGCATCACGCTGCGCCACATGCGCGTAAACCGGCGAGCGGCACTCGGACTCGCGTCCGTCAGGTTCAGCGTAACATACTAGACGGAGGGGACATCCCCTTCAGTTTGTTCGGGCTGACTATAGCATCGCTTTCTCGAGCCTGCCGATCCCTAAGAGCAGGTAATCCATCGAAACCTCCTGACGTCGGTGGAGACCGTCGCCTTTCAGCAGACGGAGAGCTCCCCGTCGCGTGGCCGTACGTGCCGACGCCATCCAATCCCTGGAATTCAGGCTGACACGCACGCGGCGGCAGCAGTGGTCGGCAGCCAAGCCAGGTTGCGTCAACCCAGGGCAGCAAATGCAGATTCACCCGTGCAGGCGCAGCAGCGCCGGAAAGATTTGCCTGCTTGCTCGGCCGGATCGGTGGCGGCCGCACGCGTGGGGTCCTTTGCTTTCTTTCGCCATTCATGCCGCTGTCCCGTCTCACCGTCTAGCGGTCGGGCTGGGGTCGGCTCCATCAACCGAGTGCCGAGCGAGCACGATAAACTACTTCCTGTAGTACAGTAGTACAATAGTATACTACAGGTACTAGTACAGACTGACTACAATACACCCGTTTTTGTTGTCTTGCCGCTCTTGTCTCCGTCCGCTGTCACACACGCGTGCGCACGTCCTGCAGCCACACGTGCGCCGCCGTACGTGTTATAATAATTAACCTCTTCAATAGCATGTTCCTCCCCAACAGCTCAGCTACGACACGTCACCCCCAAATTCTTAGGTTGAGCCACGTCGCCCAAAAATACCTCAGCCACCAATTCCCTTCTGCACTGGTCGTAGCC